GAGGTCTCTCCTTCCTCCATTTTCCAATTGTGGACTCTTGTAGGAGTATTGATTTTATATTTCTATTCTATCGTATCTTTTATTTTATTTTATTTTATTTTACTTTTTCGTTTATTTTACAGTTGGCGTGATTTCCGGGGAATGCTTCGAGTGTTGATTTAAGTTCCTTTCGTTCCGAAGGACGTACGTACATGCAGTTTTAATATTCAATATTTGTTTAACTTCAATAATTCGCTATTTGTTTAATTTTAATGTTTGTGTCAAATATTCAGCAGATGTTGGTATTGTACTGTGATTTCGAAAACGAATTCAAATTCATAATTTTTAGGTTTCTGAAACGAATTTTTAAATTCTTCGTCGTACAAGGTCATCATTTAATTTCCCCGTTGTGTGATCCTGAGAATGGATCTTCGAGGTTTTAGAGACGTGTTCTTCCGTGCACAATACTACCTTCTGCGCAACCATCTTCAATAATAGATTTTCAAACACGTGAGTTACCACTCAGAGTTATAAAAATTATCAAAATTCTCCAATTACTATTATTTAAATCATCGTCCTATGAAAGGATCTATAGTGCCTGAAGGATCAGTCAGTATAGTTTCTAAGAAATTAGAAATTAATTTTCACTAATTCTTGCTGCATCTTAAAACGGGGTTAGAATTTCTGAGAAAAGAGAGAAATATCGTTCTCACAGTCATTGTAATTCTTCTCTTATTTACTCGGTTACTGCCGCCGCGCGATGTTCTCTTCGCTTTTAATGTCGCTGCACTGCCTTCTGCAGTTTCTGTTAAATCACCAGCCAGTCCCAGCCGCTTTTATCGGTCCATATTTCAATAACTGTTCCTCCGTCCGCCTCCTTCGCCGCGGATTCATCACGCCGCCAGAAGCGATCGCAATTTGTCAACGAGATATCGCCGATACGTAAGTACTTCACTTCTTACTGCGTTCCATATTCCAACCGTCGCAGCATACTTCCTTCCAAACTTAATTCCATCATTCTTCCAACGAATTTCCATCGCTCTTATGTACGACGACGTACGCTCGATCGTAATCGATCAAATTATATGCACGTCGAATCTATTTTATCGCAGCAGCGACTCACGATAGAAGGAAATTCAGTGACTTGAAACTCCAATAACAGTTCGTTAGTTTGTTCAGTTTATCGTTATTTTCAATGATGTGTGATAATTTTGAAATTCTTACACAGTTAGTTTGTTTATAGGTTATTTCAGAATTGAGAATTAGTATTTTACAATTCGTTAATTTGTAGGTTTGTCTATAGCTTATTTCAGAATTCATTGATTTATAGGTTAGTTTATAGATTATTTTGTGGATATTTTTAGTAATAATGTACGATAATTTCGAAATTCGTAACAGTTAGTTTGTTTATAGGTTATTTTACAATTCGTTAATTTGTAGGTTAGTCTATAGGTTATTTCAGAATTCGTTAGTTTATAGGTTATTTTAGTTTCGTCAGTTTACAGACTAGGTTTAGGTTATTTCGCGGATATTTTCAGTGATATTATATGATAATTTTGAAATTCTTAACAATTAATTTGTCTATAAGTTATTTTACAATTTATTAGTCTATAGGTTATTTTAGAATTCGTTAGTTTATAGGTTATTTTAGATTCGTCAGTTTACAGACTAGGTTTAGGTTATTTCGCGGATATTTTCAATAATACTATATGATAATTTTGAAATTCTTAACAATTAATTTATTTATAGGTTATTTTGTTAGTCTATAGGTTATTTTAAAATTCATTAGTTTATAGGTTATTTTAGATTCGTTAGTTTATAGGTTATTTCATGAATATTTCTAGTGATATTATATGAGAATCTTGAAATTAATTAATTCTTAATTCTAAATTAACTTCAAACTGAATTTATACCTGAAGAGTTACTTTATTATTTCAGTGATACATGGTCTTTAAGTAATAGTTCTTTAGTAGCTCTAATTACTTTTTATTCCAATCCAAGATATTCCAATCACACATTTCTTTCTCACTTGGAAATGAATGAAACGAAAAAAAAAAGCATTTAAAATGTAGCGCTTTCCATTCAAAACAGAAAAACGTTTTTTAACGTTTCTACAGATGTTTGAATTTTTACATCTTTCGAGGGAAAGGCATCTTTGCTTTTTCGAACGCAAATTATTACAATTCGAACTCGACGACTTGGTCACATCATTGATAAACATATTATGATCTTATTTTAACGTATTTATTGTAATAATAAAAGTTTCCATCTCTTCAACGAATCATTCCCAAATTTTCTATTATCTGATCGAGATATTTTAATAATCCAATATTGCGTTATCACGATTCTGCTCGTGACTTTAGTAGGAAATCGCGACGGTTAATGGCAACGGTGATCTTTGCTCCGGTTTTATCGAGGTCAGTGATAACGGCGAAATATAATTAGCCGAGTTATTTCGTGGGTCGAGGAACTTCGGTTGTAACGAAATTAGACCGGCGGAATTGTCAGAGATTTAGATGCTGTTGCTGGCTGGTTGCTTAAGTGGAAAACGTAGTACAGCACGATTCTCTGTGTATTATATTACATTAGAATCAGGCGAAAAAGGTGACATTCTCATCCGTGAAAAGTGTAGATTGTTTTACGTAAAGCGAATCTTCTGTACGTGAGTGGTGGCTTTTTAAAATAAATGTTTGCGAAATTGATTGACAAATCTAGTCAACATAAGATGCCCCCCTCGAAACAGAAGAAATTTTGTTTCAAACATTTTTTTAATAATGGATAGTTGCAGAGATAATTGTGTGGATGAATTAAAACATCCTAGACACCCTATATGTATACGTGTATGTATGAACCAAGAGATAAACTGTAGAAATAGGCTTTGAAAAAAAAAAAAAGTGTGAAGTGGGATACAAAGAATGGCACGTGAAAGTGGATATAACATACGTGTAAAATATGGACGTATAAAGTATGAAAATGTTAGGTAATAGAAATTAAGATAAAAGACATGTAGGAGATATATTCAGTAAAAAATCACATTCAGAAAAAAAAAAAAAATTACTAGCACGAAGAACTAGTATTAAAGTACAAAGTAAGTAGAGTTTCACTAAAGCTTAAAACTCCTTTATATAACGAGTCGTGACTGTTTTAATACTTGAGTGATATACGTAAATTTTTAACACGTCGTATGTGTATTTTCTACATTTTAACCATTTCAGTTCCCGTGCGCTGTTCAAACCTCACATCGAGAAGACATATTTCACCGCGATGTGTTTGAATTCAGCGCGTCGGGCTTCGTCGATGCTTGTTCGTCGTTACTTTTCGCTTCTCAGAAAAATCGTACGGTTAATTTCGCCCATAGTTGAACAATTATTCGATTATTTTTATCCGAGAAAAGTTAAGAATGTTTGTCGACTAACATCTCGCAATGATTCAAAACAATGTTTGTTAAAGTAGAAAAATATTCCTCTAGTTGTTTAAAGTATTATAAAAAGTTACTGTGATACCGATGATTTCGAACGAGAGCTTCATTACTGGCACGATAAATTTTACCGAGGTCGAATCTGACGATGTTGAAATCATTAAGTCATTCCGTTTTTATGGGTGATCGTAAAAAAAAAAAAAAA